AGGTACAAGTATATGTCTCCCCTCATCATCTCCCACTCAAAACCCACGTGAAACTGTTTCTCTTCATCATCTCTCATTAAATGAGTGTGACTTTGCTAGACCAAAAGAAAGGCTTTGACCATGCAACTAACTGCTTATTCTGGATTTCATTTCTGAATTCTAGATTTGGCTATATTTAGCAAAGCTATAACCGTCATCATGCCTGAAGCCAGGAAGAAGACACCATTCACAAACCACCCCCTGAAAATCTGCAGTTGCCACTAAAAAACCAGACTTCCCAGCAGGCAAAGACATCTGAAGTGGGAGGGATCAAACTGGTGTCTGCGTCAGAGAAGACCTCAGGTGCTTGTAACTAACTCTCTGCCTGGCACTAACGCTCTCCATAACCTTATTTCCTCTTTTCTCTCCAACCTACCTTCTGCTCTGGTCAATCATCGTCATTATTTCCCCCGTCCACTCTCTTCTGTAACACTGGTCATCCCTCTCCCCCACCTACTTCTCCTTCAAGCTGCCTGCCTCTCACGGAACCTTCAGGACCATCCTTCTCCCAGACACTATCCCCTCCCTTGCCCCACAAAGAGCACAGGGTTGAGGCACACAGGGTAGCAGTGCATAATGGAGAGCTACTCAATGGTTACTCAAAAAACCCAGCAAGTGAAGAAAGTGAACAGCAAGGGAATAGCCAGGGAACAAATGCAGAATTTCCTTCTACCATTCTATGCCCTTCTTTCCTTGATTCTGGAAGGGGAACTTGTGCTAACCCAAATGATAACACTGGACTCGTCAGTATTCCTGAACTCATCATACTGTTTCACCACTCCACACTTGCATATGCTCCTCTTTCTGCGGGGAAGGCATTGGGCAACCCTCATCTGGACCATCTGCTGGGCAATTTCCATTCCTGTTCAAACTAGACATCATCTATAAACCCTCACCCTCAGGCCCTCTCTTTATCACCGCATAACATCTTTTTACCATCTAGTATGTACCAAGAGCCATGCTAAGTGCTGGCCACTGATCTTGGGGTTATTTGTTGGTCTGTGAGCACCTGAAGACCCAGGCCCACATCCTGTTCTTCTCAGTAGCTCTGGAACCTAATGCAGTGCCTACCACAAAGGCCTAACGAAAATTCACTAAATGAGTACATGTATGTATCACATCAATACCAACACACTAGAATTATGCTGCATATGCATGTGTATACACATACATACATACACGTATACATATGTTTGTTTTAGGTCGTTTCACACACACCTTTAAGCCTCACTACCTTGTGATGTTGGGAGGAGAAATCGTCAGCTTACTGGTATGGAAACTCACTTAGTAGTTCTTGTTAACTCTAGACCTGGATTCCTTTAGTATAAGTAAGGAAACTGCTCTGCAGGGGCACGTGACCCACCTTATACAGAACTGATGCAGTTCTGGAATGTGGTCTTGGACACAGTAGGTATTCGACAAACATGTACTATTTAAAGCTTAGAACGTAAGGCCTCACATAGCTAAGGATGTATGACAAAGGCACTACTCTTCAGTCCTTCTCTGAGCACTGCTCCTATTTTCCCATGGAGCTTATTCTGGAAGCTTAAACCAAGTCTTTCCTTGACATCACATGCCCATTACCTTAGACATGATTAGGAAGTCATCATGGCATCTTTACTAAGGAAGCTTAAGAGAAAATATCTCCCTCTACACCCAGCCTATATATCCTTCTGAATTCATGGTGTTGAGGCTTCACTTCTCCCAAACAAGCCCTCAGTGACTAGTTAGTGAAAGCAGATGAACAGTGCTGATGCTGCTGATGGAGATGGCAGCCCAGACGTTCTCCTTTATTACTACAGCAGCTCCTCCTCGGTGTTCCTGCACTCCTCACTATAAAGCAGAGACCAACACCCACATCAGAGAAACAGGGGTGATAGGTGGGATGTGGTGGGAAAAGAGTCTATGTTTAAAGCCCACCCTCCCCATACTGCCTGGCCACTGTCCTGGGCACTCGCACAGTTGTCCTTGGACAACTCTGGCTGGGACTGGTGGTTAGGGACACTCAAAAAGGAAAGGGTACAGGAAGGAACATGGCTACCCAAAATATCTATTGACCCTTGACGGAGCTAGTGAGGCTTCTGCAGAAAAATATCTGACTCTGTCCACCCACAATAGGGAATGGGATAGCTGCAGATCGCTGTAGCCAAACTAGCCTTCACAATGCCCCTTCACTTCCCCTGAACTATATATAGGATGTAATGTTGCTGGCAAATAATGGCTGCCGCTCGTTGAACCCCTGAAAAATGTTAAATAATTCATATACATTGCTTCATTTAATCTTCACAACCACTCCATAGGACAAGGGTTCTTGATCTCTCTCCAGAAATCTGTTAAAGCCCCACCACACTCTTGGTTTATGGGGTGAGGCCTAATTCGCATTTCTAATAAGCTTCCAGATGATGCTGATGCTCCTGATCCAGGCTCTACACTTTGAGAACCACTGTCATAGGGAAACAGATTTGAGAGAGGCTTGAAAAGTCTTATCCAAGGTTTCACAGCTAGTAAAGAACAGATGCAGAATTCGAACCTAGATCTGCCTGACTACCCAGACACTGCTGGTAACCGTGCTGTACTGTATGTGTGAGTATCTGCCTTGTCTTCCCAAATTGTGACAGCTCCTTAAAAGCAGACATCACCCTTTAGAACTCCCCATATCCCTCTCAGAACCTAGCAGTGCCTTTTTACTTAGTGGACCCTACATAAATACTTTGTATACTGACTCCTACATAGCTATATACTTCTAAGAGCCACAAATGCAAAGTCTCAGTTAAAGAACATAAAAAGAACAATATCACCAGACCCAGTTTTACGTGAGACTCTCTCCTGCTGCTCTGAGTCTTTGTCCATGCTGTCTCCACACTTGGATAACTCCTACTCATTTGGTCAGTCACTTCCTGCAGAAAGCAATCCTTGGCTCTCTAAAACTGAGGGCCGCTGCACCCTAAGCTCATCTCCATAGCACATATCACTCTATTCTAACTGGCTGTTTTCCATCTCTCAAAGTAGTTTGTAAACTCTAGCATCTAGTTTTATGTCATACCTCCAGGGTCTAGCACAGTGCCTGGTACATCATAGACACTCCATAACTGCTTGTTGAATGAACAAATAAATGAATGCAGAGCTGCAAGCCCTAAGTTCCACTTAAAAATATCATAATGCGTGATGTGCAATTCTCAGGGATGAATTCCAGGGAAGAGGAGGACAGCCTAGATGACAAAGACCAATTTTCCTTTTATCTTCCCCATCATTCAGATTCTGAGAACAGGTAATGCTTAGGGTAGCCCCACGTACAAGGAGACAATATCCTAGCTGAACCAGATGCTCCCGGGCTATAAAGTCAGCAGAGGCCATTCAAAGAGAAGGAAAGAGCTCTGTGCCCCTCATTCCTCCTGATTTCTCTCTCACACACTCCTTCTCTATTTCTCCATCCCACTGCAGTCAAGGGCTTTGGCACGGGAACAAAAGAGACAGATCAGACTCAAGGGTGCGGATCTGGCAGCGGGCACAGAAGCATCTCCCATCCTGCACCAAAGCCCACAAGGAAAGATCCAGAGGGACAGTGACTCAGGCCCCGGATTAAGTCCAGCTAGAGCAGTGCTGAGAATGGAAAAGAGCAACAATTTCACAAGGACATTAATTGTCAGATCTTTTTTTTTCTAAAGTGCTTTTAAAGTAAAGGCTTCCACCCTAACCCCAGAAAACTGGGCCTGGTTGAACCCAGTACTTGCACAAGCTGAGAGTCAAACACAGCTTTTTCCTCCTCCTAACCCACCCTCCCACAACACTCACCATGACAGGGATCTCCCAGGCCCAGATTAGGACCCTTGCTTCAACCTTAGCTTGCAAAAAAGGCTCCACTCCAGCTAATAAACTGTCCCCCCACAACCACCATGTTGCAGTAACAGTGGCATCCCCCTTCCCCAATCCCCTCTCAACCGATAACACAACCTACAGCAGGTTGGCCCCATTCAATTAGCTTGAATAGCTTCATGCCAAGGAAATCGCTGCTTTTATTAAAAATAAAAGCACACAAGGCAGGCAATGGGCTGTGAAAAGTATGAGTCTGGTGTAATTATGAAGGTCGAGGTTAAGGTTACCAAAAGAGACATGCAAAGATTTCCAGAAAGCCTGGAGGATAAAAAACATATATTTACATATCTATAGATACACAGATGAACACACATGTAGGGAATTTACACAGCAGATCTAAATAACATCTTCTCCAACAGAAGAAAAATAAAAATCAGATGTCACTCTCAAGTAATTCTTTTGGCTAAAAAATAAAAACTAAAACAGGAGGAAGAGGGGCCTAGTGGACTGGTTTCAAAATAACCACATTCATCTCGTGTAATTTCTGTTATCTTAGCTACATCCTGGGGACCTGATTACAGTTGGGTCAGGAAACAAAACTAGTCAAATTCACCAAGAGCCTTGGCTATTAGAAAAACATATTCCCATTCTTTGAAAATCCTCTCTTCCTCCAGTGCGTGCTCATGAGACTGGGAAAGTTGGGTAGAAGGAGAAACCCCTCTCCCTTCTTAAAGGTACTCCATCTCCACCCTTCAGCCCTCACATCAATATTTCAAGTTTAAGGAGGATGACAAGCCCAGCACCCTACATTTGATGTGAAGCTTTACACTTTCACACATACGTTTTCCCTCTGATCCTTGTAATTCAGTGAGGCAGACAAGAATTGGCTTGTCAATTTTTAAAAAATAATAAAAGGTCACTGAGGTAAACAATTTCCAGCAACGTCCTTCCACCCCATAAGCCCTGTCACTTCCAAACCTCAGTTTTAAAATTTTCAAGGACAATGATTCACTGAGCAAGGGAAGGGGGAAGGGGGAAGGGAGGGTCAACTGGTCAAAACCCATTCATACACTGAACAACTAGAAACCAGTCTTGCTGCATCAGCACAAGATTTTAATTCACGGCGCACTGAAAGAGTCCCACCATACCTTCCGCCAACACCTCGTCCACAGTGACCTGCTGTCGCCCAATGCCAAAGACCCTTCCGATGTAGCCACTGCCCAGGCCCGAGGTGCTGCCCCCACCTCCGCTGGAGCCAGAGCCCAGGCCAGAGCCGCCCTGCTCTCGCCGGGAGTCGAAAAACTTCTTCATCTTGAGAATAGGAAGCAGTAAAGCAAAATACCGAAGGTTTCTGGATTTTTTTTTTTTTTCCTAAGAAAACAAGAGATCCAAGGATTTCTTCTCGGATTTCAGCTCAGAGAGGAGCCACCCGAATCCGGCCGTGGGGGTGGGGGCTGAGGGAGGATGCCAATAGGAATATGCGTGTCAATCGCGCCGCGGTCCCCTCCTCCTCAAGAGAGCGATTCGCGTAAGTTTAAACCTGTGATGACAGAAGAAGAGAGGATGAATCAGTAACGCACTTACGAATTCAACCGCTGAGCAAAAGCCATCATCCCGGGGAAACGCTTCATGCATTTTCCTAGCGAGAAAAATTCTGGTGCTGAAATCCCGGCAGAGCGCCGGACCCCGTCCCCGCGGCTCGGAAAAAGGAAGGATCTGGCCGCCTCGGGCAGCGCCGACCCAGCCGATCACTGCCTTCCCCTCCTCCTCGGTCTCCCCGCCGCCCCGCGAGGCAGCATCCCGGCGGCACCCACTTGAGAAGGCTCGGCGGCTGGCGCCCAGCTACCAGCCCTGCAACATTGTCACGGCCGCGGGGCCGGCCTGCGACGCGGAGAGGAGGCGGCGCTGCAGCGAGAGCCGGGGCCGCGTTCGGCGCCCGCCCGCCCGCCAGCTGATCCCCGGAGCGCCCAGCGGAGACTGACCCGCCGCCCCTCCCCCGCGCGCGCTCCCGCCCGGCTCCATCCACCCAACCAGGAAGTGAACCGCCGCCGGAAGTGCCTCTCGGGACGGCGCGGCGAGGGGCCGAGGCCCTCCTATTGCTGCCGCCCGGTCGCGACAGACGAGAAGGAGTCGTGGGAGAGAAGGGGACCCAGGAGGGGGGTGTCTCAGTGTGTACAGAGTTTTGTAAAAGAACTTTTATCACCCGATCCGCAGTGCACCATGGGAAAGGTAGTTCGGCGCAAGCCACCGGCCGGACTACAACTCCCAGGATGCCCCTGACGGAGCGAGCAAAGTGGCTGCGGTGGCCTCCTTGGCCTCGAAGGTGGTTAGTGGGGTGGTGCATTTGTGGGGATTCGGTTATTTAAACATATCCGGTAAAGAAACCGCCAAGGACTAGGAAACTGCTGTATGTTCCACCCTTTTGAAGCCATCTTACTTGCGGTTTGACCTCCCTGCACAAGGGATTCTGGGGGTTGTTGTTTCCAAACGGATCGAGAGGCTGACACCTGAAGGACGCGGCTTAACCGCTTAGCCTCTGGCCGGTCCTGCGGGGCTTACCGACGTCACCTGGGCAGAAGGTGGAAGAGGAGGGGTAATCAGGAGAATTTTGCTGGCAATTGGTCCGAGGCCACAGTCGAACGCCAACTCTGAGTAGAACCTGTGCCCTTCCGCCGCCAACCTCAAAAAGCCGTTTTTGCTCCCAGATGTTGTTGAGAACCGCTCGGCGGTCAGCTCTGAGCTAGGCGCAGTGAGAGCGCTTAATAAGACGGTGTCCCGGCTGGGAATCTACAGGCAGGACTCAAACCGAGAAACTTAAACGTTGTGTTCAGGGCAGATTCTAGGGTACCAGCAGATCCAAGCCGTTGGCTGTGACCCCAAACTGGGGCTGGCTCGTCTGCCGACAGTGACCCTCAGTTCTTCCACGTTTGCTGATGCTATGGGTGGGCCTTACCTTCACATATCCCCTCACACAAGAACCCAAGACTGATCTGTTGTTATTTCTTTTTCACTCAAGATTCCCTCCTTCCTTGATGCTGATTTTTACCCTGATACCGCCTGAGTGCCAAAGTCCACTTGGCGGACAATGTGATTTTCATCTGCCAAATGCAGAAGACTTGGAAGGCCAGTTACTACCCTTCTACATCCCTAGATTTCCTGATGGACGGTGCTTAAGGTAGTTCCAAATCCTTGCTCCCTCCCCATCCATGATTTTTCTAACTACCCGAATATAGGTTCTTTCTCACCTCCACTTACTTGCTCTCCCTAATTCTCCGATCGCGTTCTTGACTTGTACTTCGTCCCAGAATTTTTCAACAAGCATTTAAGGAGAGGAGAAAAGGGTACTGTGGGGGGGAGTGGAGGCCGGGGCGGGGATGGTTCTTGTTTTCTGTAATCTGAATATTGAACTGTGCTGTGACTGGGTTGGCAGCAGCCTTGCTGTGCTTTCTCTTTTCCTTCTTCCTCTCCTCCTCCTCCTCCTCCTCCCCCCCTCCTCCTCTTCCTCCTCCTCCTCCTCCCCTTTTCAAGTAGTGCCTTTGCAGTTAAGCTTCCTGTGTAGAGACAGCATTTCTTCTTCCAGAGGGAGTCAATGTTGTCACCTCAGTTCACAAATTCATGCAGCCACCTCCAGGGTGGAATGCAGCACCTGCTAAAACATTCCCTGAAAGGAAGCCCAGGGAGCATTTCTCTGCACTTGCCTTAAAAGGCTAGATTTTGTCTTAAGGAAGTTTGGAATAGACCTTAAAATAGATGGGAAATCTCATTTGGAATTAGATTCATTGACCTCCATCTTTCTCTACATCTATTGATCTTGACTGACTTTTTAAGTTTATTTATTTATTTTGAGAGAATGAGTGAGTGTGAGGGCTCTGGAGCAGGGGAGGGGCAGAGAGATGAGAGAGAGAGAGAATATTCCAAGCAGGCTCCAAGCCCAGTGTGGAGCCCAACGTGGGGCTTTATCTCACTACCGTGAGATCACGACCTGAGCCAAAATCAAGAGTCAGTTGCCCAACTGACTGAGCCACCCAGGTGCCCCTTGACTGACTTTTTTGAAGAAATTCTGTTGGTCCTAGAATCTGTTTCTATCTCACTTTTTACCTTCCTAGACATTCCTGTTACCAGACTAGGCCAGACTTAGGCAAATTCCAACGGTCACTTCTGAGATACAAAAACTTGTTTTTATCTGATAGGATTAAGGTAGCTAACAAGCAGCCATCTGGACGATTTAAGGACGTTTTTAAAGAAGCAAAAGAAAGAAAAAAACATTAGAACAATGGATTTCTTGCTTTCCATTCTCTCAGAGACTAATAGCAATTACAATGATAAAACTACAGTTTTTCATCCTTTACATATAACAAGTTATTTGTTGGTAATGTTGAAATAAGGTAGTATTGTTTTACTCATTTTTTTTAAATTTTTTTAATGTTTTTATTTATTTTTGAAGGAGAGAGAGAGACAGAGCATGAGCTGGGGAGGAGCAGAGAGAGAGGGAGACACAGAATTCGAAGCAGGCTCCAGGCTCTGAGCTGTCAGCACAGAGCCTGATGCAGGGCTGAAACTCACAAACTGGGAGATCATGACCTGAGCCAAAGCTGGACACTCAACCGGCTGAGCCACCCAGGCGCCCCTGTTATACTCATTTCATAGATGGGGGAACTGAAGCATAGAGATAAACGACATGCCCAAAGTCACACAGATAGTGACTGGCAAAGCCAGGGCTCAAACCCAAACATTTTGGCTTTAGAGCCCAGTGCTTAACTAGCTACACTGAACTGTCAACTTAGAAAGAACAACTATAAACTGATTAAAATACTTTAAAATATTTAGAAACATATTTAGAAACAGCAACAGACCAGGAAACAGGGAATCTTTGCCCTCCATAGCTGTGCCCCTAGACCACTTATATCTCTGGACCTATTTTCTCAGCCATAATACCACTGCTGTCCTGCAACTCTTAGTAATTCTCTTGTTCCTGAGTGTAGAATAATCAGATTTTTTAAAAAATCAAAGATCAACCACGATAATCTCAAACTCCTCCCACACTTACTTTCTGTATAATTTGCCCCACCCTTCCTTGTGTTCCTTCCTATTCATCTTTTTCATGTATATTGTCACCTCAAGTACTAAAAGTCAGAGAGCAGTCTTCTACTTATCTCCACTTATCTCCTCGAACACTCAATGCAGTAGTTTGTATCCTTACCAGTTCTTAAATAAGCCAAGTAATTGACTTCAAATGAAATATGACATAGAAGAGAGCAATCTGATTAAGGTAGAAAAAATTGATTTGAAGTAGTCTGAACTAGGTAAGCTTGAACTCAGTCCAGGAGATACTATGGATAAATAATCAAAAAGAAGAGGGAAAGAGACATTACCATGTATTTTCCATATGCTAGTTACTGTCTTAAGCACTTAAAATATTATCTTGTTTAATCCTCATGTATGCATCTCTGTGAGGTAGATACTATTACCTACTATTATTAAAGTAGATACTATTATACTATTATCCCCAGTTTTACAGATGAATGGTGAAGATTTTATTAGTAGCAGAGGGATGTGTATGGTTTGTGAGGTTTGCAGAAAATTATTTGTTCTGTGATGTGGCTAACTCATGTCACAGTAAACCCAGTTATGGCAAATGTGTGGTGCATCCTTAGAGGAAATCAAAGGGAAGGGAACCAACATGAATTAACTACCTTAACTAAGGCCCCCACTGTGTTGGATATTTAATTATATCATATCATAATACACCTATGAGGTGTTCATTGCTTTTATTTTGTCAATGTGGAAACAGGCTCAGTGGGGTTAATGTATGTCAACTGTTGCTACATAGAGCCTATAAAGGGCAGAGGCAGAATCAAAACCTGACTCACCTCAAAACCTTTGTAATTTTCACTATACCATGTAGCCATTCTATATTGCCAGCTTTTAGTCCAATGGAATTTATTAGAAACGCAGATTATCAGGCCCTACTCAGATCATTAACTGATTATTAAATAATGAACTAATCTAATGCATCACTTAAGGGAAAGAACCATATACATTTTTCTCCACTTTTGGTTTAATATTTTTAAAAACTTTTTAAAATTTAAATGTTTGTCCTGTTCAACTGAAGTATAATTGACATATTTATCATCATTGTCTTTTCTCCAGCACTAAAAATGATACACAGGGATACAGTTTTCAGAAATTCATTTTCAGCAATTCCTTAATGCTTAATATGAGAGCAGAGGGTTAAAAGTGAATAAAATATAATCCTCACTTTCAAGGAATTTCAAATATCCTGTAAAATTAAGCGTATTAAAATGATAGAGGGAACTAACTCTGGTAAGAAAGGCACAATCAGAGTAAAAACAGCTAGAATATATTTATGTAGGGACAGGGGCAGTAATCCCCTTTCACCAGCCATCCAGGTGATTCTGATTCATATTCAAGTTTGAGAACCACTGTTTAGCAGAAGGGAAATTATGACAACCATCTTCCTCCTTTGAAAAGGACATTCATTGTTTTTTGTTTTCTGGTTAGAAAAGTAATTACATAATCATTGAAGAAAGTAAGTCAGCTCAGAATAAAAATCACTCAGAGATAACTGCTATTGACTTTTTTTTTTTTTTTTGCATTGACTGATTTCATGAAGCTCAAATTTTTCAGGGACTTTTCAACATATCCAGTCCAACAGCCTATTGGAGGTCTTAATCCCCTTTCTCTTTTTAGTTGCCCTATAAATCTTTCAGCTATTCCTCCTGCTGTGTTTTGCTACTTACTGTTACTGCAGAACTTTGAATGTGCCTCCATTATAGCCCAAATCAGTTTGTACTGTCATTGTTGGTTAACCTATTTATCCCTTCAGGATTACATTACACTCATCTTTCTTTTTTTTTTTTAGATTTTTAAAAAATGTTTATTTATTTTTGAGAGAGAGACAGAGTGAGAGCAGGGGAGGGGCAGAGAGAGGGAGACACAGAATCTGAAGCAGGCACCAGGCTTGAACTGTCAGCACAGAGCCCAATGTGAGACTGCAACTCATGAACCCCAAGATCACGACCTGAGCCAAAGTCAGAAGCTTAACCGACTAAGCCACCCAGGCGCCCCCACACTCATCTTTCTGTCCTAAGCAATGGACTCACACATACGTAGCAGATATTTAATAAATATTTTGAACAAATGAATTAGTAACTCAATGGAAAAAAAATCTATCAAAATACTGAAATGTATTTAATGCTTCTTAGCAGCGTCCTAATTAGATTTGAGCTCTAATAGTCTAATTAACCACAGAAATGTTCTTTTAGAAGAATTTTTTCTAAAACTTTCTAGACCTGAAAGTCCACGTTTAAGATCAGTAAATCTCAGAGGATTAATAAAGAAAATGTATGGGTTATTCAGTCCTCCCTAACAACGTAAAAGGCACCTGAGACATTCTAGGTCACTCATGTTTCTACTTTCTCCAGCAGTTTATTTAGATGTCATTAGTTTAATATCAATTTACCTTGAATTTTCATTCTCCTCCAGCAACTACTGCATTTCTCTGCACCTCTTTCCAACAAAGTTCATCAGTGCAACTGTCTATCCTTGCCATCTCTACCAATTCTCATTACTACGTCCAATAAGCAGTCTCAGTCCCTTTTTAAAGAATTCATTTTATTTAAGGGCGCCTGGATGGCTCAGTCAGTTAAGCGGCCAACTCTTAATCTCAGCTCAGGTGTTGATCTTAGGGTTGTGAGTTCAAGCTTCGTGTTAGGAATCTATGCTGGGTGCCTACTTAAAAAAAAAATAAAAATAATTTTAAAAATAAAAAATAAATAAAAACTCATTTCAATTTATTTAAACAAACAGACAAAAAACCCAGTTCACCCATTTCTCCCACCCGTCACCCCCTGCCTCTGGCAACCATCAATCTGTTATCTGTACCTATGAGCTTAAAATATATGTTTTTTAGATTCCACATGTAAGAAAGATCATATGGTATTTTGTTTTGTCAGACTTATTTCACTTAGCATAATGCCCTCGAGGTCCATCCATGTTGTTGCAAATGGCGAGATCTCATTCTTTTCTATGGATGAATAATATTCCATTGTATATATGCCACAATTTCTTTATTCATTTTCCACTGATGGACACTTAGGTTTCCTTATCTTGGCTATTGTAAATAATGCCATAATGAACATGGGAGTGCAGATC